CTTCAATATCTGGTCAGATATTGTGAATTTTTCTCTTTTGAAATATCTTTTTCAGGAGCCTTCTTATTTACTGCTAGATGAGTAATAGCTTTCAGCTTAACCTTGGACCCTAACATTCTCACTTTTCTCAAAATCCCATTCTGTTTATAAGACAGTACTTGTACATACTTTACTTTCATCATCATTCCTTCACTTAAAACCCTCGACTGCCTTCACATTATCACAACGTCAAATCCAAATACTACCTGGCTCTCAGCGCCCTTCATTATCTGACTCAGCTTGCCTGTCTAGCCTTATTTCCCATGACACTCCATGCTCTGTGCAAAATACCCTTTCTGTACATAGCCTGCTTCTACCACTTTCTGTACTTAGTTTGCTTGGTCTCTCCTTCTTGCTTTTGATTTGCTCTGGAACATCTTTCCTTTTCATCAGGATGTAACTCATTTCCCCGCCAAAACTAAACCACCTCCAGTCCGCATTCATTTCTTCAGAACGCGCAGAGCTTCTAAGCCATTTATTCTGTATAATTTAGAATCCACAGGAATAATATTCTACCAAGAGAAAATCTCTAATATATTTACTGGTACCTTAATTTCCCTCAGTTCAACTGAAGTTAGATAATAAGAAATTATTATTATTATTAATATTATTACATAATATTAAAAATATAGGCTTTTGTATTTATTTCATTGGTGCTGTACTTTGTTGGCCTTTGCAGTAAGACTGAAAGATTCTGGAGCATAGAGCCTATGTGTCTTCCATTTCTTTAGTAGCCACCACAGTGCTAAGCACTTTGATTTTATAAGTATCTTCTATGTTCCTGGTTGTCCAGGTGCTGAGAGATGGGGTGGGTGTGAGAAGGAAAATGGATAAACCCCCATCCTCTTCAAGCCTGTATTCTAGAACATAGTATACATTGGTAACATTTTACATTTGCATTGAATTTTAAAGCTTCCAAAGAGCCAGGCTTCTGCTCAGAATTGTCTGAGCAGAAAACTGTAGGTCTGCCTAATCTTGTTCCTTGCCATTTCTAATTGATAGTAATGAAGAACTATATGTAATCCTCCATAAATGAATGTACAGATTCTCACCTACTTAAGCAATCATAAAAACTTCAGAAAGAGAAGTGGTCCTAATTATAAAAGTCTAAATAAAACTAGAATTCAAGAAACCAAGGTCTGAGCCGCAATCTGCATGTATCGATTATGAAACTTGGGAGACAGTCTTCTCATGGCTTATAATGCTTTCCTAGCACACAGAGATGCAAAGATCAAAGAAATTGGTTTCATAGATGAAAACTAATCTTTTTGGTGGTACTAGGGTTTGAACTCAGGGCTTCATGCCTGCTAGGCAGGTGCTCTACCACTTGAGCCATGGGTTTTGGTTACTGATTAGGTATGGGGAATAAGAAAGAAGATAATTTAGTTAGTATTTATGGAATCTTTACGACCTTCCACAACTGTGCCAGGTACTTTTACGTGGATTTCTTCATTCTTTCCGTGGCCCTCTGGATTTTGTGTTTTGTTCTCCCCCATTATATAGATAAGAAAACTGAGACTCAGAACGTGAGTCTCCCAATGTGTCTGGTTTCTTTAAAGAACACGCGTTCATTATTACTCTACTGCCTAACAGGTTCCCAGTTACTAACCTGGTCAATTATGTGATTGCTGGCAGTGCTACACCATTGAAACAGTGGGGTTAGGAGGTGGGGAGCAGTGTTAGGCAAGGTAGGAGTTCTACTTTGGATATTTCAGTTGAAGGGCCTTTGGGACATCCAGAGAGAGATGTTTAAGTGGAAGCTGGATCTAAAATTTTGAATCCTGGAAGAATAGCCAGAACTGGATATGCTGCTCCAGGAGTCTTTAGACTATTAGGTGGTTGTGGTGGTACCCACAAGTGGGCTGGATGTTACTGCAGTAATAGTTGAAACTTGAGAGGAATGAACATGACCACCTAAAGAGTATGTATGCATAATGAGATGAGGTGTATCTTTTAGTCCTTCAGTTCTTAACATTCTTTCCCATAACATGGCAACTGTCATCCTACCCCCATCAAAAAAAATCAAACAAAAAAACTAGACACTGTACACAATGGACTTTTATGCAGCCACGAAGAAGAATGAAATGTTATCATTTGCTGGTAAATGGATGGAATCGGAGAACATCATTCTGAGTGAGGTTAGCCTGGCCCAAAAGACCAAAAATCGTATGTTCTCCCTCATATGTGGACATTAGATCAAGGGCAAACACAACAAGAGGATTGGACTTTGAGCACATGATAAAAGCGAGAGCACACAAGGGAGGGGTGAGGATAGGTAGGACACCTAAAAAACTAGCTAGCATTTGTTGCCCTTAATGCAGAGAAACTAAAGCAGATACCTTAAAAGCAACTGAGGCCAATAGGAAAAGGGGACCAGGAACTAGAGAAAAGGTGAGATCAAAAAGAATTAACCTAGAAGGTAACACACATGCACAGGAAATCAATGTGAGTCAATGCCCTGTATAGCTATCCTTATCTCAACCAGCAAAAACCCTTGTTCCTTCCTATTATTGCTTATACTCTCTCTACAACAAAATTAGAAATAAGGGCAAAATAGTTTCTGCTGGGTATTGGGGGGTGGGGGGGAAGGGAGGGGGTAGAGTGGGTGGTAAGGGAGGGGGTGGGAGCAGGGGGGAGAAATGACCCAAGCCTTGTATGCACATATGAATAATAAAACAATAAAAAAAAAACTAGACACTGTTCTTCTATATTTTGTTAGTAGTAGAATAAGATTAGCTATAAATAGTAGCTGTATTATCCCTTTTCTGTCTGCTTAATTCATACAGCAGAACTATAGCTTGTTTAGTAGTGAATACCTGTAGGTACAAGTGAAATATGAGGAAAAAGGAATCAAAGTCCCCTGGAGCATTATTATTAAGCTTTTAAGATTGGTACTCCTAGCTAGGTGTGGTGGTGTACAGCTGTAATCCCAGCCATTCTGGAGGGATAGGTAGGAGTATCGCAGTCTGAAGCCCATCCTGGGCAAAAGCCCAAGACTATTCAAAAAATAACTAAAGCAAAAAAGGGCTGAGGATGTGGCTCAAGTGTAAGGGCCTGAGTTCAAGCCTCAGTACCACCCCCACCCCACCCCCCAAAAAAGGTGACTGTTCACAATTTAGCAGCTTGTACAACCCTATATAACTTATATTTTATCTTCATGTTAACAATGGTTTCAGCCTGTACTCTCCATTGTGTATGAAGTAACATGTTTTATAATAGAACTGGGTAGTATCTATTCATGGAAGGGAGTTAACTGCATCCCTTCTCCTCTGGATTTATATTTCCTCTAGACTATATGTGAGTTTGTCCCTGGTCAGTACCCAAAATGGAACAGGGCAGCAATTTGGCTATGGTTGATGGTCATAACATAAGAGAGAGTGGAGTGTACTGGCTGCTCTGGTCTGGTCCATTTGTGAGTAGAGCATAGATCTGGAGGCTTCTGCTTCTGCAGGCCAGGAAATGGAAAGATTGCTTTGGTCCTCATTCTTTTTCTTTGATACTCTTTTAATCAAGAGTGTGGCAAGCGATTGGGTCCAGGGAAAGCAGAGCCTGCACTCAGAGAAGAATAGACAGAGATTATATGTGGACTGCTTATCTCTTTCACAGAGGGGAAGATATGTTAAATTGAGATACTCTAGTATGTTGTTTTGACCACAGATTGTTGTGGTCATTTTAGGGAGCTTCATTGAATTCATTCAGCTTCAGTTACCTGAACCACTTAATGATTTGATGAAATAGAAACTAAATCAAGGCTTTAATTCAAGTTTTACTAATTTTTATAAGATCACTCATGGTGTCAAGTACTTTATATGTATATTGATAACATTTTACATTTAGGTGTATAGCATGAGTAACTTTCAGAATCTTTGTCCTCTGGAGTTTTAGAATACTGTACTTCAGGTTCATTAACTTCATAAATATTTATTGAACAACGACAGCCTGCCAGTTAGTGGGCTAGATGTAGAGTATAATAAGGAACAAATTAGATAAGGTCCTTTCTTCTCTCTTGGAGCTTACTTTCTTTAGGATTTCAGACACTGAATGAAGCTTGTTTGGATAAGTTACTTGTGAAAGATCTATAAGAAGGTCTTTTGGATGTGTCTGGTTTCCTTCCCTACACGTGTCCAGATCCTAACCATCCTCATTTAAAGCCTGGCTCAGGTAGCAGCTTCTCCATGATATCCTCATCTTATCCTTCCAGCAGATACACTCTTTCCCTTTGTGAACTCCACTGCAATTTTCTTTGGTTACCTTAAGCTTTTTTTCTATTCGTTTTATACTTGTTTGTGCATATTTAAGTCATGTTCTCTCCCTCCATCCTCCACTAGACTATGAGTTATTGAGGGCAGGGTAAATATCCTATTCATCTTGGTTTGGAGCATTCAATTGTAGACAGCAGGAAGTTGGGGTTTGGGGAGTCATAATGAACTTAGAGCCAGAAGAAATGAATTGAATGCTAGCTTCTGTATTAACTAGATATGTGACTATAGACAATTCATTGCATGTCACTAGAATTATGTTTTATCTTTAAGAACATAGTAATGAGCTGGGGATAAGGCTCAGTGGTACATTGCTTATCTAGCATTCATGAAGATCTAGATTCAATCCCCGGCACTGGGGTGGGGGGAAGGAATAATCCTTCCATTCCTGAATACTTATGGAAGGCTTAGCCTGAGAAAATACATATGGCCATACCGCATATCTATGTTCCTACACAAATATTTGTTGGTATATAATAAATATTCAATGAGTATTTGAATAAGATTTGCTTTAGTGAGCACCTTTTCCTGTTCTCTTGCTTAATGGGGTCAGTATGATTTTGCAAATTTGCTCAACTTATTTTGCATCACATTTTATTATTAAATTATTCTGTTCCACAGAATTAGCATTCTCCTCATCCCCATGTAGGTGCCTGCTGTGTAATATTAAAATGACAAATGACATTTGATCTGGTTCAGCAGGTGGTACACTATGGCTGACATGCAAAATCTTGTAGAAAGATTGGAGAGGGCAGTTGGCCGCTTGGAGGCAGTGTCCCACACTTCTGACATGCATCGTGGGTATGGAGACAGTTCTTCAAAAGGTAAGCAGTCTACAGCCCAAGAATGTCTGTGTAATGTCTTGGTCTTAATTTTTTATCATAGTAACTTTTCTTCTTTGGGGCTGACTTCCCCAAACACTTGATCTAGATAATTCATCTCTTGTGAGCAGATAAGGGAGGAAGTGACTTGCACAAGGAGGCCTGTGGTTAAGTTATTTTAACACAAGAACTTCCTGCTTGTGTGATGGTTCCTGTTCTTTCTTTAACAGAATGACTCCAGTGTAAGTCAAATGGCAAGTGATATTAAAATTTCCTCTCCCAGTGATTGGCAAACCAGCCATTTTGCACATGTGCTAATTGAAACAGAAGGTTAGCATTAAAAGAAATCTTGGAGGATCATTGTGTTTATTTCCATTTTATAGCTAAAGAAAATTAAGCTCAGCAAGGAAAAAAGGTCACACAACCAGTTAGTGGTGATATTGGAACTGGTAGCCAGCTCCCAGTATTCTGTGTGTTGTATTAACTTGCCTCTCCATTTTCAAGAACATCCTCCTGATATGTGACTGAATTTTCCTGGTGTATCTCTCTGCCTTAGGAACAGTTCCTTATGTGCAAGCATTTGACTCCCTGCTTGCTGGTCCTGTGGCCGAATACTTGAAGATCAGTAAAGAGATTGGAGGAGACGTGCAGAAACATGTAAGGAGGCTGTGTCTTTGTTCCTCTTTTTGAGGGCCTGGTGGCTTTCTTCACATCTCATTCATCCTTAAGACCCTTTTGAGAGGCTCCTGACTTCTCTACCTGCACTAAGGAGCTCGGTCCAGGCACAGAAATTGTTTTTCATTTTTCTAGATGGCTGCTTTTATTAATATTCTGTATAGGTTTCCCTTATGCAGAAAACTTACTTAGTCCATAAACTACGTTTCTGTTCGTCTTTGTGGTGAAGAACATGCTACTGGTCTGATCCCAGCGTGTTACATAACCAAGCTTAGGCTGCCTTATTTAAAGGGATCATTATCGTGACTTAGCATTTATAAAACTGTACTTGATAGTTACTAGTTATGGTAATATGGGTTATTTTCACACTTAGAATATGAAGTAGGCAATGACAGGTGCCTGTCCACCCACCTCCCTTCATGTACTGCCTCCCACGTCATCACCACCACCACCCGTCACTCACATACACATCCTGCCTCTCTTTCCAGGCCCAGGATCTTTTTGTGAGTACACTGAATGATCTTTTATAAACAATAACCAAACCCTAAGCTCCTCATATCTAGCTAATGAGCAATGGTCTTAACTATAGGGAGTGAGGCTGGGACTTGGATAGGGGTGTGGAGACTTGTGTTTTTACTTTAGACAGTTCTGTAACATTTGAAAGCATTTAAAAACATGTACCACTTTTATCTTTGAAAAAAGATATATAAAAATTAAATTTTTATATCTTACAGGCTCATGTTTTGACTTATGGCCTCAGAAGTAACATTTGTAACCAAGATAAGTTTGACAAAGCAATACTGCTTGCAATACTGCTTTGCACTCCAAATTATTTGGAAATAATTTCAAGGCAGTACACTACACTCATACTTTTACGTTCTCTTTAACTTAATAAAGTGCTGGTTACATGATCTAGTATTTAAGAAATAGCTTTAACCTAAAGGAATAAATGGCCTGAGAACTTTAGGCTCAAATTTAGGCCTTCGCCTTTAATCCTACCTCCAATTTTTGAGAAAAGCAGGGGGGTTTTTAGGTTTTTTATGTGATATGAGATAGGATGGATAGTTTAGTACATATGCAAAACTCTTCGTGTGGGGCTTAGAATGTAGTTCCATAGTAGAGCACTTGCCTACTTGCATAAGGCCCTGGGTTCCACACCCAGCACTGTTAAAACAAAAACCAAAGATACCCTATTCATGTGAAGTTGCTAACCTGACTTAGTACCTAAGGCCAGCCCTGATTATCTTCATTTACAAACCTGATTGTTCATTCCTGATTAGTTCCAATGTGAACAGTAGTGTATGTGCTTATGGTATCAGTCTCTGGAATCTGGAATACATGAGGAAAACAACATGAAGTGCATGGGTGCTACCGAAGTACATGGACATGGAGGTTTCAAGTTATTCTTATCAGGACCTCTCTAGTTGTAATGTGTCATAGATAGCTGATTCTTCTTTCCTGCAGGCAGAGATGGTTCTCACAGGTCTGAAGTTGGAGCGAGCTCTTCTGGTTACAGCTTCTCAGTGCCAGCAGCCAGCCAGTGTAAGTTTACTACTAGTTGGTTTATTGTTGGTTTGATGCTCAGGACAAATTTGAGAGAGCTGTGCCAAGATATCACAACATGCTGAAATAGACCAACCTGACCAGGCTTATGATAATATGTACATTCACACCAAGTCCCAGGGCCAGAACAGACTTAAAGTGCCCTCGTGGGAATGTCCCTTGACTATTTATTGGTCTCTACTGGCTTTTTTCCGTGTTATTTTGCTTAGGACTTAAGTTACCATTGAAAATTTACTGCTTCTCTCAGTAAACAGTCTCTTATTATAGAAAAGGGTCTACTTTACTATGAGTGGGCCCTAGTAAAACTGCTGTGGAAGGAGAATGATGGAGGGGGTGAATTTAAGTATGAGATATTTGATATATTATAAGAACTTTTGTAAATGCCACAAGGTATTCCCAGCACAATAAAAATAAATAAAATAAAAAACAACAAACCTGTTGTGGAGACCCTAAAACTCCTGAAGAACTGCTTCTCTCCTTATCCTTCACTGGTTGGGGAAATCTCCCTTTTACTTCACTCCTAATTGAAAATTTTATGCAACAATGTATGAAAAGTTGAATTAGAGAAAGTTTAGATCTTTCTTAGAATGTAAGATCTTAGATTTGTTTCTTTTGTGTTAGGCTTTCCTAGCAAGTCTACCGGTTAATGCCGAATTAAAACATTTGATCCTGGGGTATGCCTAAATAATGTAAAAATAGTGTCAGGGTGCTGGCAGAGTGGCTCAAATAGTAGAGTCCTTGCCTAAAAATCAAGAAACTCTGAGTTCAAACCCCAGTACAACCGAAAAAAAAAAAAAAAGTATTAGGTAATTGAAATATGTTACCATTCAGTCTTTAATCTGTCCTGAATTGTTGAAGTACTTTATTTAAAAATTTTTATCCAAACCCATGCTTTCCCCAATAAATCAAGCAGCTGAGATGCTATTGCATTTTCCTTGTTTTGGACCAAATATCTGTCCACCATCCATTTATGTAAATGAAGTTTTTCTGGAACAAATGTTTACTGACTAGGCCGTTAGAGAAAAAGTTTGTACACTCACAGTTAGATTTTTCATACTAAGACCTGAGAACTGAGATGGTCGGGAAACTAAGGTTTGAAGGAGAGGTTAAAAACACAGAAACATAAGATTCATCCATTTTGCTGAGGTCCCTGCTTGGATGCCAGGCCCCCTAATTACATTTGATTCATCAGGTCTTCATTCAGCAGCTGCTATATGGCTAACAATGCATTAGGGCTGCAATGATGACAAATGGAAGCTAAGACAGAGCCCTTGCCTTTGAAGAATTAATGAGAAAGAAAAATATATTCGCGTGAGTCCATTAATAGTTTGTGCTGGTGTGTGTGGTAAGGTGCCAAAATTGATTTTGCTGACAGTAAGTGTTGTGAGAGATTGGAGGGGTCTTCATCATGAATATTTGGATAGATGGAAAAAAAGGAGAGCATCACAAGTAAAGGTACAGAAATAGTATCTCCCATTAGTGTGATGGAAAAAAGACAAGTGGCTAAAATTGTGGAATTTTGTGGTATAACTAGAATATGGGTCCTAAGCATGAAGAATCACAAAATCCATCTGAAGGAGTTGGAACTTTATGGAAGGTGAGATGCTGAGCAGTGTTTTAGTCATATGACCAAATGAATCGGGGCAGGATGAATACAAAGTTTCTTTGTTCATTTTAGTCCATAAAGAATTCTTCCATTCAGTTCAGGATCAGAGTTGACCAGTATTTTAGTTTTTTGGGTTTTTTTTTTTTTTTTTTTTTCCTTGAGACAGGGTCTCACTAGATAGCCCAGGCTGGCCTCAAATTCCTGATCCTCCTGCCTCCCACTGCAAGTTCTAGGATTACAGACAGACATGTGCCATCACACCTGGCTCATATACAGCTTTTATAGAAGGACTCTAACCAGAATTTTCTTCTGCCTCTTTTCCTAGAATAAGCTTTCTGATTTGTTGACACCCATCTCAGAGCAGATTCAAGAAGTGATAAACTTCCGGGAGAAGAACCGAGGCAGCAAGCTATTCAATCACCTGTCAGCTGTTAGTGAGAGCATCCAGGCCCTGGGCTGGGTGGCCATGGTGAGCAGAACAGCTTTTAGGGCAGGGAAGGGATGGACTGAAAGAGGGAAGGAGATGTGGTTGGAGAGGTGCTGAGTCACTGGCTGCTTCTTTCTCTCCAGGCTCCCAAACCCGGCCCCTATGTGAAAGAAATGAATGACGCTGCCATGTTTTATACAAACCGAGTCCTCAAGGAGTACAAAGATGTGTAAGTCTAGGCTTTCCTCTCGAAGTAAAGGACAAAACACAGCTACTTTCTGCAGTAGCACTTTGGGTTAATGAAGGCTGTTGTTGGCTTCTGTACTGGTTCCCTCATCTCATGGCTAATTTGTGGAAAACTTGGAAGACACTGGCTCATAAAACCTGCATTGCAAGCAGGAAGTGTTTCTGCTGGCCCTTCTCCACGGTTGGTAGAGGCCCTTTTAGTTTTCTCATCTTTCCCCTTCTAGGTTTAAAAAGTTTTGCTGGAGGCAATGTAGACTAATGACCTTTAAGTCACCTGCTTATATAGATTTTTGTTCCTCTTTTGAGAAGAATGTCTCACTAATGCCATGCCAAAGAGTTCAATAGGACTTAACAAGAGAATTATCTGACTATTCATGCAGTCAGGCAAAGTGAGAAGGCTGCCTAGCCAATGATGGTATTAAATAAGTAAGGGAAGTCATTGAATTCTAACCACGTACATATACTGCTCCTAACTGACTTCTCTGTTGCTAATTTTGAGCTGGAGTGACTATAGGCAGCAATTACTTAGTTAAGTCTTAGGCTAATAACCTATAGAGAAGAGAAGGGATTATTCTGAACCATATTGCAGTATTATTTCTATAATTTTATCCTGATTGTTGTTTTCTTCCAAAAGGAAGGTTTGACTTCCCAGGTAATGCTTGTGAAATCTTGGCTCTACAGTGGCTTCATGCACAAAATGTCTGCTTTTATCAGCTTTATATATTAGGCTCTATCTAAGGTCTATTTAAAAAAAAAAAAAAAAGTTTTGCTCCTAAAAAGAGTTTGAGAAACACTGCTGTAAGAGAAAAGAAGATATAATCCAGTGCCCCTATCCTAGTAGAGTTTGGTCTAATTAGAGTAATAGGATAGTGTTTTGTTTTATTTTTTTAAGCTCAGTAATGATAGAAAAGCTGCTATTGAGCAGAGCCTAAGAAATGCTATAAGCAGGAGTATATGAGCCCGCAGGTAGGAGAGGTTCTAGAATCACTAATGTTACCCTGATTGCCTCTAACAAGTTCTTCAATTCTCCCAGGGATAAAAAGCACGTGGACTGGGTCAAAGTGTACTTGAGCATATGGACAGAGTTGCAGGCTTACATCAAGGAGTTCCATACCACTGGCCTGAACTGGAGCAAAACGGTTAGTGAGTCTTTCTTCCCTTTCTTCCTGTCTTTCTCTAGGACCCACTCCTTACATTTCTTACACACCAAGGCCTGGTATTTTTTTTGGTGGATAGCAGAAAGGGGAAAAGAGAAAAAGAGTAAAGAAAGCAAGGATCAAAAGGTTGAGTTCTATTCAATTTTTAAAAAAAAAAAAATTCACAGGTCAGGGAGACACAGAGGAATCACACTATCCCAACTCTCAAGGAGCTTAAAATTACAGATACAAACCTCCAATACAAACCATCAAGCTAAATACTGTAATAAAGACACAGTATGAAGAAGAGCCACTGGGAGAGACTATGCTTTGAAGAGGCATACTCTGATTGGAGACTTGAAAGAAGTATAGGTCTATGAGAAGTGGGAGAAAGGCACAGCTTAACAAAGTAAACGCAGAGTAAATTTAGAGATTGCTTTTCTCTGATTCCAGTAAGGGGAGATGGTCAGAGATTTTTAGGAAAAAGAATGGAAGGAAGGTAGGCTGAGCTTTTGGGACTTGGTATTTTAGTTTTAGTAAAGGAATGATAATGATGAGATTTATCTCCCTGTTGAAGATAAGGGATTGTGCACAGAGCATGGGAATGGTCATGGTGGTAGGGGCTGATAGAAAAGCATTTATTACCAAGATAATAAATAACAAGGTTAAAGAAATGGGAAGGCTCAAAGAAGATTGAATATTCACCCCAGGATGGTAATAGTCTCACTCATAAGGATCAGGGGATGATTGTACAAGCAGAGGAATAGGCAGGATATGATGAAATCAGTTTTTGGTTTTTTTGGTGGGACTGGAATTTGAACTCAGGGCTTCATGCTTATGAAGCAGGCACTCTACAGCTTGAGCCACACCTCCAGTTCATTTTGCTCTGGTTATTTCGGAGATGGGATCTTGTGATCTCTTTGCTTGGGCAGGCCTCAAACTGTGATCCTCCTGATCTCAGCCTCCCAAGTACCTAGGATTATAAGCGTGAGCCACCAGAACCTGGCTATGAAGTCAGTTTTGAACTTACTGAGTCTGAGGTACTTGTAACACACCAAGGAAGACGTCAAGTAGATTTTTAGAAATATGGGTATAGAGCTGGAATCAGGAGAAACCAGATGAAAAATGTGAAAGGTGAGAAATAGCACTAAGAGTTGGAGTCTCAGAAAAGGGTGACAAGAAATAAAGCCAAGTCGGGTGTGGGTAGGGACCATCGATCATTGCGTTAAGAGCTATAGAGGGGACCCTATGCACACTGAACACACACGTAGAATTCCACTGGACATGGCACAGAGGGGAAGGAGAAGATAACTATGGTTCTTGCACTTATCGTTCCAGGGACCTGTGGCAAAAGAACTGAGTGGATTGCCATCTGGACCATCTCTTGGTTCAGGTCCTCCTCCCCCCCCACCAGGCCCACCTCCCCCTCCAGTCACCACCAGTTCAGGCTCTGACGACTCTGCGTCCCGCTCAGCATTGTTTGCACAGATCAATCAAGGGGAGAGCATCACACATGGTGAGTAGTTTGGCACTAACAGTTGGTACACACACCTTTTTTTTAAATGAAACCATATAGTTTAACCCTGGGAAACAAGTGAAATTACAAAAACACTTCTCCAAACTTCTTGCAAGAGACCATCTCAAAGGCTCCTGTGCTTGCTTTGAACTTTATGTTAAAGGTCAGTGATAGCAGAAGTTGGTTATTGCCTCATCTTAAAGCTCTGGTATGAAGGACAGGCACAAGGTACCTGTTATTTTTACAGCCCTGAAACATGTATCTGATGACATGAAGACTCACAAGAACCCTGCCCTGAAGGCTCAAAGTGGTCCTGTACGCAGTGGCCCTAAACCATTCTCAGCACCTAAACCCCAAACTAGCCCATCCCCCAAGCCAGGTGCAAAGAAGGAGCCAGCTCTACTTGAACTGGAGGGCAAGAAATGGAGAGTGGTGAGTTAAAAATACTTGTACTGGGGGAAGGGGATACAGGGACAAATGAGTGCAGGGATCTGGCTCACAGTACAAAAACAAAGGTTGGGATAGCCTGTTATTTTTGTCTGTGTGCTTCATAAGAATCCTGTGGTATTTCTTTTTAAAAGGAAAATCAGGAGAATGTTTCTAACCTGGTGATTGATGACACAGAGCTGAAACAGGTGGTTTACATATACAAGTGTGTCAACACGACATTGCAAATCAAAGGCAAAATTAACTCCATTATAGTAGGTGAGTCTTTATCAGTCTGTATTAGGTAGATTGTGTCCTCAAGCCTGAAAGGGCCATCACCATTTTACCTACCCTCTTCCTAAAGATTCTTAAGTATATTACTTCCTTTAAAGTTACACTGTTGACCTGCTTCCTTTCTTCTCCTAGATAACTGTAAGAAACTTGGTCTGGTATTCGATGACGTTGTGGGCATCGTGGAGATAATCAATAGTAGAGATGTCAAAGTTCAGGTAACTTGGGATCTTGAATCCTTCTTTTGGTCCCTAGGGAATTAATTGAAACAGTCACAGCAAACCCACAGATGTTGCTTGGGTAGCAATCTGATTCTACAAAGTCTGTAAGCTGAGCTGCTTTGGATGAGGCAGAAAAGGAGTTGGTTCTTCAAGGGAGCTCTTTCCAGCACTCATCCCAGCCCGCCCCCAATATCCAGTGTCCGTTGTGCACCTGGAGCGCTCATGTAGTTACTGAATCACGTTAAACAGTGAAAGCTCTCCCTACAACTTAACTGTTGTCTTCTCCCACCTGCTGGGACTCAGTTTTCTTGGTTTCCTCTGCAGGTAATGGGTAAAGTGCCAACCATTTCCATTAACAAAACAGATGGCTGCCATGCTTACCTGAGCAAGAATTCCCTGGATTGTGAGATAGTCAGTGCCAAATCTTCTGAGATGAACGTCCTCATTCCTACAGAAGGCGGTGACTTTGTAAGTTTTCTTTATTTCTTTAGGAGTATGATAAACAGAAGGGATTAGCTGGATGTAGTGATGGACAACTATAATCCCAGCACTTGGGAGGCTGAGGCAGAAGGATCTCAAGTTTGAGGGTTGCACTGGAGGAAGCTATTTGATGGACACTCAGCAATGAGTAGGTAAAATCCAACATTGCACACCAAAAGTAGAAGCAGGGTAGACTCATGTACTCAAACTTCAGAAGCGGACTTGTGCCTTTAAATTGCAAAAACAAGAGAGCATCCTGACACTCTGTCAAGCTGGTGCTAAAGCCATACGTATTCTTGTTTAACAAAGATCACAGATCACACTGAACAGTGCACTGCACAACACAGAATGGCTGGGTGAGTTGTCTCAGTCCATCCTACTCTGCTCTCAGGGTTAAGTGGAAGCCACCCATTGAAAGTGTGAAATGTAGATCCAGTTCATTTTGTAGTCCAGATTCCAAGCTGTTCTCTCTTTATTTACAGAATGAGTTCCCAGTCCCTGAGCAGTTCAAGACCCTATGGAACGGGCAAAAGTTGGTCACCTCAGTGACGGAAATTGCTGGATAAGCAAAGAGCCAGTGGGTTCTTTGCCTCTCCCTTCACACCATGGGATAAATCTGTATTGAGACGGTTCTTTTCTAGATTTCCTCTACCTTTCTGCTCTTAAACAGCTTCTCTGCTCTGAGAAGCCAAGCTACCTGCCTTCACTGAATATACCTCAGGCTGAGATTTGGGGTGGGCCAGCAGGTCGGTTGATCTTCTGCAGGAAAGTGCAGCTTCTCCACGTCAGCACAGCCACACCACCAGCCCATTCTTAAGGGACTATAGACCCGGACTGGGGTGTTTCAGCTTTCAGCTTTTTTGGGAGGGGTAATTATTCCACCAACAAACAGTCCTTTGGGAAGAATAACAGTCCCATGAGTTAATATCAGAATATGCGTACTGATTAATCTTTTTCTAACCATGAACATGGAAGTAGAAGCTGGTATGATTCCAGGTGGTTCTTCTAACCAGACTAATTTTTCACTACTGACAAGTGAGGTGAGGGTTGCATTGGACCAAACGCTGAGGCTTGGCCACCTAGTGTTCAAAGCAAACGTGTTTCCTAAAGCATTCCATCGCTCTGCATTCCATCCTTGGTCCCAGCGGCAGTAGCAGTGCCCTGGGTCTTGAGCCCTTTCTTTCTCTGGACTCCCTGCCCAGCACCTTCCTACAGAGGTGTCTTTATAAAAGAAAAAGGAAAAACAAAGATGCCATTCCAAGGCATTCCTCCTCTTCTGCCCGTCATCCATCGTCTCAGCAGCCCCCGCCGGTCATACCCAACAGCTTAGGGCCTTGGTCCAGGCATCCGAACAGAGGACTAAAACTGCCACTGCAGGCTGGTTTAGGTCTTGAGTTATGTGAGAATCCTGCACAGCATTGCTAATGTAAATTCAGTTCTCCCCTCTAGGATACACTTACCAAAATACGCAACTTGTTTTCTGGTGGGAAGAGAGACTGTCCTGTGACTTCTGCCCATTTCCTGAGGCCTGTGGAAATAAACCTTCATGGACTTAAAGTTACACAGAAAATAGAATAAAGTTAATACCAGACTTACTTATTTACCTATGGTATTTGTTGTAGAGATGTAAAAATATTGAAAATGACATCAAGAATAAGAAAGTACTCTTTATTTTAGACCTCATAAAAATTTCTTATCTCCCCTCTTCTTGCCCTAATGCTCAACTTTTAGTTGAATAATAAGCTTAGCTTGAGAGAGGAAAAGGGGAAATGATAACAGGTAAACCCTGCAGCACTAAAAAGGTACTTTCATGAAAACATAATCATTTCTCCAAACTACCATTCTACAGAAGTCATCCAAAAAGTGGGGGACTTTTCCATGTTCAAATAATGTAGGAAATAGGTCTGGGAGTGATGGCACACATCTATAAATCCCAGCTACACAGGAGGCAGGGGCAGAAGAATTGTAATTTTCAGGCCAGCTATGGCAAAGTTAGGGAGATCTGTCTCTACCACAAAATAAAAACAAAAGGGCTGGCAGCATAGCTCAAGTGGCAGAGTGTTTGCCTAGCAAGTATAAGGCCCTGGTTTAATCCCCAGTGTTGCAAAAGAAAAATTGTAAAAATAACAGGAACAGAAAATTATATATAGGTTAGTTTTCTAGCCATCAGGAATGCTCAGAGTCCTTAGTCTTAATGTGGGTTGATCTCCAAGAGGAGAAGGGGAATGTGCAATATTCAAACTTTAGTACAGTCTTTCTCACAGAATATATGAACAACATTTCAGAGAATGCTGGTAAATATTTTGGGGGCCAGAGGCATGGTTCAAGTGGTAGAGCACCTGCCTAGCAAGCTTGAGATCCCTGAGTTCATACCCTGATAATACTAAAAAGAAGAAAATGATTTTGGGGGGTAAAAGTTAAAAAGCCCTATCTCTTTATATTGTTCCTCCCATTCTGGGCTAAAGCTAGCAATAGAGGACTCATCCAGGCCACCTGTTATATTAAGGACAGTTAATCAAGGATGAAATGGAAGGAACTAGCTGCCTCATTTCCACTTCCACTCCTGTTTTTTCATCATCACCTCCCCAACCCCACTGTCCTAAGTTAATGTAAGATGTACATTTCTTCTCTTAAGCAACCCAGTTGGGTGCTACTTCCCTCGTTTTGTGACAGGGGACTAACATCACCAAATGAGACAAACGAGTTCTGCAGAGGTAAGATGGTAGGCCAGTGGAATCTGTGTAGTAATTGCCTAAAGTGCCACAAGAAGGAAAGGGGAATCTAACCTTAAGAGATGATGCAGAAACAATATTGAAGCAATACTTTTCCAAGCATTACTTGCACCAGCAACACTAAGAAAGAATTTATGTGAGTATCTCACGCCTGAATACCAGCCTTCTATTTGCTTGAAATGTGGCTAGATGTTTGCTCTCGGAATCTATGTCTGCTTTGGTTTTTTTCAGTCTCTGGGCTTGTGTACAATTCTGGCACTGTGTGCAGTAGGCTCCCTTTCCTAAGACTGAGCTTGACCACATCACAAGGTTGAAAAACAATCTCCGTGGTTATTAGCTAATTAAACATGGAATTCAATACCATATGGCAATAGGAGGCGGCAAAGGATAAGATTCGGATCTTAGATCTTTCCAAGTAGGGCATGTTAGATGATAACAGGAGAGAAGGATTAGTTGCAGGCTGGATCAGAGCTCAGGGTTGGGCATGGAGAAAATTGTCCTCCACGTGGTTTGGAAGAGTTAGGGGCTCCCCAAGCTGTATTGTAAACCGCAAAAGCTTCAATGAAGAAAGGGTATGATGTGGGCATTAAACCATTCTTCAGACAGTTGAAGATGGTCCCCTTCTGTAGCCAGAAACACCAGCTGTCCTGCTTTGTCCATTTGCTTTAGTCCCAATCGGTCCTGCAGAGAGAAAGGCAAGAATTACTCAAGAAAGGCTTTAGAGCAAAACAGTAAAGAGAATATTAAGACATTCTCAAAATGCAGTTTTTTTCCTTTGTGAAAAATTATTTGTAAAAAAGATGTACTGCTGAAATGCCAAAAAAGATTCCTCCTTCTAGTTGTTTCTAAGCAATAAAAATATAGATGCAGGCATGGCTCAAGTGGTAGAGCGCTTGCCTAGCAAGCATCAGGCCCTAAGTTCAAACCCCAGTACCACCCAAAACAAAAAAAATGCAATTGAAATTGCCCTGTATTTATATCCTGCTTTTTTTTCTTTTTAACCCCTATGAGGCCTCACACATGCTTCTCAGCTATGTCCTCAGTGCCTATATTCAGCTTTTTTTTAAAGCTTCGCAGAGGTGGAGGACCACCCATGTGTGAGCAAATCATGGACAAAGCTACCTCAAAAATAAGTGGGACTGAGCCAAAGGCAGGAGAAAATTAGCTAGACAAATGTTTTAAGATAAAACATATTATCCTTAGATAATGAACTTGAGACAATTTCATAATCTTGCAGGTGCAAATATCACTCAATACCCTAGGTACCACAGAACCACCTCTGGTTGTGAGCTATGGCAGGGCCACAACGGTGCCTCTGCTGTAGCTACCATCAGTTTGAGTTTCACAATAAGGAAGTTCTAGCTGTAATTTCCAAAACTTACCAAAACCTAGCTCCCCTTTCATTTATCCTTACCCAAACTGGGACACCAAATGCAAGAGGAAAGCCAAGAGGGAAGAGGTGGTCTCAGAAATTATGTAGAGGAATTCTAATAGAAGGTGCTAGTTCAGATGTAGCACCTGTGCATCTGTGAATCTGTCTCCAACATAAAGTCAGTGTGCAGCAAGCAGAGGCCCATAACTGCATGTGGTGAAACACTGCAACTTCTGCCTGAGGAACAGGACCTACTGCTAAACAAAATTCAGAACTCAGTTATGTTTAAGCTCCTGCAGGAGGAGCTCCCCTTGTCAATGCTTAATTTATTGATTTATTTTTGGTGCTGGACTCAAACCCAAGGAGTCGTGCTGCTAAGCACAGGCTCTACCACTGGGCTACACCCCAGCCCACCAATGCCTAACTTAAAAACAACTTCTACATTTGTGATGCTGTAACACTGCTGTCTTCTATTTTCGTTCTCATGGAGGCTTCTTGGTTTTGTAGCAAACTATACCTTTGCAAAGGAAGCCAATTCCATACCTCTTCTTCAAAAGCAAAGTATTAGAGATGATGTTTCTCTTGTTTTTTGCTTGAAAAGCATGAGATACGGGTCTTACCTTAGGATGTAGTGAATTTCTATAAGCCATGACCTGAAAAATGACAACAGCCTAACAAGTGTCACCTCATCTAACATGAACCAGATGACACATGAGCACCTAATAATTTGGGGTAGACAGGGCAGGGCCTCAGGAACCAGGAGCTGACAAGACACAGCACTAACCTCCTAAGAAAGATCTCTCCCTCTCAGTTACCTGTGTATACAGAGTGGTCTCCTGTAGGGGAATGGTTTCCTTGGCTTGGCCACTTCTGTAAAATCCAAACCACTGCAAGAGAGGGAGAAGAAAAGTAAGTCAGATCAGACACACACTGCCAAACTTATTTGAGACTCTTTACTACCTACTAAGACTCCCACCAAACTGAACACCATAAAACTTTACATAACAAGGGATGAGTTAATCTTTCTAAAGAGGTTTCCATTTCCCCAGAATTCTTCCTTTATTGTATGCCAGTCCTGAAATCCCCGTGCTGAACTCAGCCATTCAGGGGTATGATCCCTTTTTCCAAGAAGCTACCAGTCTATCGAGGCACAGAAACAATTCATTGTTTAGCAAACTTTTTTCTGTAAAGGTCACATACAAAGTATTTTAGGCTTTAAGGACATATGGTTGCAGCTATTCACTGCTCCAATTGTAACACAAAAGTAACCACAGACAGTATGTGAAAAATGTTCTAATGAAACTTCATTTATAGACATGAAATTTGAGTTTCATGTAATTTTCATTTCATGAAATATTCTTTTGATTTTTTTTCCAACTTTTTAAATATGTAAAAATTCTTAGCTCACAAGCCATTCAAAAATATGGCCAGAGATATCTAGCCCATCGGTAGAAGGGCTGACCATGTGGGCAAAGCTCTAGTAGAGATTGATGACTACACAAGAGGGAGCAAGGGGCTGGCCTAGTGGTTCACGAGATAGAGGGACTACCTAGCAAGCAAGGGGCCCTGAGTTCAAACCCCAGTACCACCAAAACAATTATTTAAAAATTATTTTAAAAAAAAGAAAAAGGGAGCAAATTCTTGAAATGGGGATGGTGTCCTAGAGAAGTGACATTTGCATTTGGCCTTAACAGGTGAATAGGAGTTTGTCAGGTGTAAAGGTGTCCTAAAGATGAAAAAGCAGTAACAAAGGCATGCAGGAGATAAAGCACAGGCCAATTGTGGGGCATTTCAAATACTACAATATAACTTGACCAAAGATTGTATGAAGTGGTACTGAAGGGAGATGAAGCTGGAAAAACAGGTTGAAGCTGAATTAAGGCAGACCTGGAAAGCCAAGCTTAGGAATTTGTAGACTAGATTAGTCATTTTGAACTTTTTTTGGATTACAGATCTCTTTGAAATCTGATTAAAGCTAAGTCCTTCCCCACAGAATGCAATCACATACTTCCACATAAAATTTGGGGGTGAAATTGGGGAGTTACAAAATTCAATGTCCCATTTATGGACCTCAGAACTTCTGTTCTGTATTATACAGCAGGCAGCTGTATTCCAAGACCATTTGCTCCTGCAGTCTTCAGTCATGCTGTGGCCTAAGTAGGTCTCACCTCAGAGTCTACAGGGTCCACAATGGAATCATTGAAGAATTTCACCATCACAAATTTCTTGAGGGCCATCAGGTTCTTCTTGTAGGATTCATTGACACTCTGGAAGAAAGGCCAGCAAGGTTATTACCATCGCGTCCCAGCAGGGGGTTAAAGCCTCCAGTGCTCTGGCTTACCTGACCCTGGGAACTATGTTTCTTCCTCAGCTCCTGCCCACAATATACCTTGTGCTGCCTTTTCTTACCATCCTATGTGATGACATGCCATTACCAACCACGGCAAACAAGTGCTACCATGAATCTGCCACATTCTACAGGCGTCAGTCACAAAAAGGCAACTAGCCAGAGAAAACCAAAGCAAAATAAACTGAAAATTCTGGGTTCTTCTGCTATACTAGTCCTTGTTGTTTAGAGTTTTTTGTTGGTTTTGGGGGGTTTGGTTGGTTTTAGTTTGTTTTCCCCTTTGATTTTTCTATTTACTTATTTATTTTTGGTAATAATGGGGTTTGGACTCGGCTTTGTACTTGCTAGGCAGGTACTTTACCATTTGAGCCATGCCTACAGCCTGATTTTTCTGTTTAAAACAACAAAAACCCGCAGGATGACCCTAATTTAAGTTGGTAAACCATCCAGTTTACCAGAACCTCCCAAACCACACTCATGCGCAGGGCGCAGTCTGTCCTCTGCAGTGTCTCTTCTACATCAATCTCTTTACTGAAGAACTCTGCCCTAAAGACCCACTGGGCAGGCTTACCTCATGAAGACAGCAGCTGAGAGTTTCCATTTTGCCCAGCCAGCAACCTACTGACCTTGTCCTACTGCTTCAACATGAGGAAAGGGAAAGCACTGTAGGGAGGGAGACCACTGAATTCCAACCTTCCTAAAAGGGGCTGAATCTCATAAGCACTGCTTCCCAATAAACAACTTCTGGTTCCCAGATGCTGCCCAGTGTAGTTTAGGTAAACACTCACTGCTAATTTCTTTCTGATGCCCTGAAGAGAAAAATGAATGTCTATGGGAGCCTTGTTGGGTGCTTACCCTCTCCTGATTTATATCTGCCAAGAAGATGCTGTGGTTGCGATACACGTCCTCCTTTATGGGGTCATGCCAGTATTCTGCTTGCACCAGGCTGCACAGGAGAAATGGAATGAAAGTAACCAAGCTGCCTGTCTTAGCATGCCCCAGTGCAGAGGCCAGCAAGAGACCTTGAAAGGCCAAAAGACCAAAGCCCCCAAATCCCACGTCCTACCCTCTAGCAGGGAATACAAGACTTTGACCTATCAGACTGTTCATCAACATGACAAGCTGCTGAGACAGGGACAGGCTCCTCAACATAAATGTCTGAAAGACTTAGGAAAAGGACTCAGCAATATCTGGCTCTCCTATGCCATTAAGCATCATCACATGACTGGAAGGCTCCAGTCATGGTGGCACGTGCTGTCTCCTCTCTTGCTTTCCTTTACTTCCTAATCATCCTGCAAGACTCAATTCAAATACTATCACCACTGTCTCTTCTCCAATCAGTCACCTATCTCTTCATCCTTCTTGCCATCCTCTGACTGAAACGGATGTTTAACCTATCCCAGTAAGACTTTCAGTAGTCAGGATGACACCCCGTAGTATGTTTATAAGTATATAAGAAATGTTTAGTTTCACTGATTCTTAAAGATTCAGGGCTAAAGATGTAGCTCAGTGGTAGAATGCTTGCCTAACATGCATGAGGCCCTGGGTTTAATTCCCAGCAATGCAAAAATAAATAAATAAATAAAATATAAAAATTCAATGAACTCTGAACATTTTTAAAACACTGCTACTAGTATTGGTCTTGTCGTTTTGCTTTAGTACTGCCGTCACTTACACTGAGGGTGGTTCGTGTCTCCTCTAAAGGACTATAAGCTCCTTGGCTATACCAGATGCTTAGTGTAAGGGTTTGTTGAATGAAATGGACTGATGCAGGATGTCAGACAAACTATGCAAGAGGCTAGCACTGAAAGAGGGGCAGGATTCAGAGGTGTGAGAATAGAGTCCTGGGCAGTCAGAAGAACAAAGGGAGCGGCAGCTTTAAGAGTAGGTGGGCAACAGTGCCAGATATTGAGAAGTCAACGTAAGCACACCCACCTTTCCCACAGGTGGCCAATCATGACTTACTCAATGTAAGAGAATGAGTAGGAAAGTCTTTGGATCTTGCCAGACCAGGTTCCTGGTGACACAGAATTGCAGTGGAGGGCTGATGACTGAGGATAAAAGCGTGAAGGCAATAGTTATAGTCACCTTCTTGCATGAAAAGGAAACAGAGAGCTGAGAGGTGGTGGTAGTAAGAAATGAGAGACATTTTATTTTCTAAGAAGCCTGGTGCACATGGGACAGCCAAGGCGAAGGCCTGAGAACAAGGTACTTGGAAGGTAGGGCACTGCCTCTTCATGAAACTGACAAGAAAAATAAGTTTGTGCTCCCATCATCTCCTTGTACCACTGAGGGGCAGATTCAGAAAGGCTAAGTTCCTCTCTTGAAGCTACACAGTGTTAGAGAAGGTAAGAGAAAAGCCCAATTTAGAGGCCACATTTACCAATGCAGTGCACACAAGGGTCAGGAAAGGACAATTCTCAGGCTGGACTTTCAAACCACAGGTCACAGCTGGTGAGACAAGTCTGCCAGCCAAGGTCTGCTCTAGCCATGTGGCTCAGAGAAGAGTAACACTTGCACAGCACTTCCTATATGCCAGGCCTATTCTAAGCACTCTACTTATACTGACCTACTTAACCTTGGTGAGAGGCAGGTGCTACTGTTAGCTTTGTGTTTACAAATGAGTGCTCACACTCAGAGTGGTTAAGGAGCCTGCCCAAGTCATACTCCTCGTCAGCACAGAGCAGAGCAGGACTGCAGGCAGTCTAGCTCCAGAGGCCTTGCCCTTCACTACACTGCACTATCTCTGCTGCACGTGGGATGGAGACAGCATCAGCACATGTCCCATCAGGCTGGGTTGGAATGACACGTATTTTACCTCTATGTACCTGCAAAATTAAGCATGATATGTAAAACTTGATACTGTGTCCACCCATGCTATAAATAAAAGAGCGATACTAGGTCTGTCATCGTTCACTTTTGCACATCCTCTCCCTCACACTGGGGCCAGCTTTTGGCAGTGTACAGTTTGCATGGTATGTGCGGGGCTCAGGCTGAGGTAAGGGCCTGAAGGAGAGCACAAGTACAAGCACAAGAGCTGAGGTTACATCAAACTAAGGAATTCCAGTTTTGTTTTTTTTTGTAGTGCTGGGGATCAAGCCCAGGACCTTGTACACACTAGGCAAGCACTCTACCACTGAGCTACATACACCCTCAGCAGCCCAAGATAGTTTTTGATGGAATCTGACAAACTAATTCTAAAATTCAGGTGAAACAATAAAAGCCCAAGAACAGCCAACACTTGAAGACAGGTAAAAGTTGCTACAGAAACTAAAGCTGTGTACTAATGGAAAGATAGATAAATAGACCAATAGGAGAGAGTACACTCAAGCACACCAACACCTAGGTAGATGAAAAAGCATGACAATGAGAAACAAAACTTTAAAATAGTAAGAGGAGCTAGGCACCAGTGGCTCGGGCGCCAGTGACTCACTCGTGTAATCCCAGCTGCTCAGGAGGCAGAGATAAGGAGGATCGAGAAACCCTCTCTCAAAAATACCCAAACAAAAAAGGGCTGGTGGAGTGGCTCAAGAAGTAGAGCACCTGCCTAGGAAGTATGAGGCCCTGAATTCAAACCCCCAGTACCACCAAAAAATAAGAGGAAAATAGTTTTGTGCATCAATCATAAAGGTTGACAAATTTGAGTCCAAATTAAAAGCTGCTGTATTGGCTGATGGTTATATGACACTGAGTGAAATTAACACCATTGAACTGTATATTTAAAAATGGTTAAAAACCAGCTGGAGATGTAGCTCAGTGGCAGAGCATTTGCCTAGTATGTGTGAGGCCCTGGGTTTAATCCCCAGCATTGTCAACAGAAAAAAAAAGATTAAAATATCCTATTTTACCACAATGAATTATACACTTTAAGTGTGTGAATTGTAAATATTAGAGTTATATCTCAATAAAGCTACTTTAAAAACAAAACAAAACAAAACTGGGGTTGGTGATACAACTCTGTGGTAGTATGCACACTTAGTATGCAGAAGACCCTGGATTCAACCCCCAACACCAAAACCAAAAGATACCATAAATTAAATGATACAACGCAGACTGGGAGAAGGTAAGTGCAACATATATAACAAAGTTTTAATATTAAAAAGATGTGTATATGATACAAATCAATGAGAAAAAAAACCAGACAACCCAACAGAAAAATAAGCAAAGGCTATGAATAGGCAATTCACAAGAAGGAAAACCTGCACGGGCAATAAACATGAACAGATGCTTAACCTGACTGATAATCAAAAGCTTGCAGATTAGAATAGTAATCACTCCACACACATCTGATTCACAAAAATTTAAAAGACGCAGGACTGGCTGGGTGTGGTGGTGCATGCCTGTAATTCCAGCATTGAAGATGCAGAGGCAGGAAATTCATGAATTTGAGGCCAAGTTCCAGACCAGCCTGGGCTACACTAAGCTACAGACCCTGTCTCAAAAAAAAAAAAAAAAAAAAAAACAAACTCACAGGATCAAAAGTTGGTAAGAATGGAGAAAACAGAAACTCATTCAGTGGTGCTGTAAATCGGCACAACCACTTTGGCAATATTGGGTAAACTTAAAATACACATGCCAATTAGCATTATCACAACAGCAGCTGATACACACCAAGTATTTTTCAGGTACTGTTCTAAGCATTCTATTAACTCATTTATACACATGGGATAAAATTATTTGCTCTCTTTTACAGATAATAAAACTGAGGCAAAGAGATAACCTTCCCCAAATTAGCCAATCTACTAGTAGATAAGTTCCTGTCCAAGGATATTCCCTGCAAATTGCTCATTATGATGAGAACCTGGAAGTGCTAAAATGTTTGTAATACAGGAATCAATGACAGAACGCCACACAGCAGTTAAAATGAGTGAACTAGATATACACGTGACAACAGGCTTAGATCACGGTGAAAAAATCTGCAGAATGAAACTTAGGGAAGTGTATCTACTGTATAGAAACCCATACACCGTAACAGTATTATTGATCATGGATAGAAAGGTAATACATATAATACTTTTTTTTTTTTTTGTGGTACTGGGGTTTGAACTCAGGGCCTCACACTTGTTAGGCAGGCACTCTACCACTTGAGCCACTCCACTGGCCCAATACTTTTTTTTTTTTTTTTTTGAGCTATAGTCTTGCCATGTAGCCCCCCAGGCTGGCCTCCAACTCTCAGTCCTCCTGCTTCACCCCCCCAAGTACTGGATAACAAGTGTGTGCTATCACACCTGGCTGGTACTATTTCTTGATTTGTTTGCCTTACTGGGATTTGAACTCACAGCCTTATGACTGCTAGACAAGTACTCTACAACTGAGCCATGCTCCCTGCCTTTTTGCTTTTAGTTATTTTTTAGATATGGTCTTGTGTTTTTTTTCCAAATTGACCTGGACCACAATCCTCTTACTTAGGCCTCCTGTGTAGCTGGTATTGCAGAAATAAATCACCATGCCCAGCTTTTTTGTTCAGATGGGGTTCTCATTAACTTTTTTGCCTAAGCACACCTCAAACTGTGACCCTTCTGATCTCTGCCTCCCAAGTAGCTGGGATTACAAGCATGAGGTACCTCACCTGGCCCTAATGCTAGTATTTTTAATGGACACAAAGAATATACTCTCACTTCTTGACAGACATTATGGAGGGAGCATACAGAATAGAACCTGGGAAGAATTCAATTTTATCTGAAATGTTTTAGTTACATAAAAAAAATCTGAAGCAAGTATGATAACTCTATGAACTAAGTACATAACAATTTGTTAGATTACTCGCTGACTTTTCTGAATGGTTAAAACGTCTCTGAGAATTTGACCAGATGCCTCAATGCTTCCAGAAAAGGAAGTGGCAAGTTCATTAGCTATGAGCAAAGACAGGAAAATGTGACAACTGAGAAAAAGCCTCTAAGAGAGCCACACAGGCCCTGCTAAGCACAGGAGCATGAGGCTGGGAGC